AAAAAAAAAAAAAAAAAAAAATGATATGGGGGAGTAATTAGGTTTTGTTGCCTAATTAGTGTATAAATAAAGATTTTAATGTGAAAAAGATACAAATGATTTTACCAATCTCTTTATTATATCTTCTTCTTTCATATTATTTGACTAATAATAATATCTGTTATTATTATGATATTTATATGGTATTCATGTTTACCATTACATAAAGATTATTTTGAAATTATCATAATATTTGTTATTATGATGAAAAATATAAATCAATATTTTAGTAATATTGTGTGACTTCTTATTATTATTTAAATTATCTAAGTGATATTTAAATAATTATTTAATATGATACATGAATATATGTTATTCATGTTACTAGACGCAAATATCTTTGTGATGTTTATATTTATTTAATACAATACATGAATATATGTTATTCATGTTAAGAGACTTAGTAGATATCTTTGTGATGTTTATAATTATGATACATGACTATTTGTTATTCATGTTAAGAGACTTAAATATCTTTGTGATATTTATATTTGTGTTTATTTGTTAAACAGTAACATGAATAAATGAATATGTTTCACTAAAATAAGGTTAATTAAATTATATTTATTCTTGTTTGTGTTATTTGTGATGATTATGAGCTTGGCGAAATTTTCGAACTCATGGCATAAACAAAAATAAAATTTATAATTTAATTATATTGACCTCATGCCTAAAATCTATTTTATATACTTGTAGATGACAACTAAATCTATGATTGGAGATTTGTCTTCCAACGAAAAGCTAGATGGTACCAATTACGACATCTGGCATAGGAAGATTCAGTATCTTCTTAATGAACGTGAGGTTTTGGAAACCTTGTCCACTACTGTGATTGAGCCAAAAGATATTGCTAGTGCGCAGTACAAGGAAGAATTGACAACCTATCAGACGTGGTCCTAAAATGATCGTTCTGCACGCTATACTATGTTGTATTGCATGCATAATGACCTTATTGGAGAGTTTGAGAATTGTCCCACGGCTAAAGACATGTGGGACAAGCTTAAGGTCACCTTCGGGCAAATTTCGGCTACTAGGCTCCGTGCCTTGAATTTAAAGTGGATGGATTACAATATGGATCCTAAACACTCTGTTGCCGAACATTTGCGTGTCATGAGTGCCATGATACGTGACCTGAAAGCTGCGGGACGAGATGTATCTGACGAGGAGCAAGTTCTAAATGTGGTTCGTTCACTTCCAAATAATTCTGAGAATTGGAAGAACTTCAAGCTCCTCATGGCTCATAGCGAGAATGTAAAAACTTTTTCAGAACTCGCTAAACATATTGAAATGGAAGTAGAACGTCAGAGAATGTTAGCACCTTCCAACGTTGCATTTGTTGCCCATGGTGGTCAAGCCAAGGGAAATAAGCGCAAACGAGCCAAGAAATTTTCCCGTCCTTCTCAAACTTCTGGATCAAATGGTGGTTCAAGGAAACAACTTATGGCACATGGCCAAAGGGAGAAGAAAATAGCGCGTGTGAAGTGCTACAATTATGGACAGAAAGGTCATTTCGCTCGTGATTGTGCTGAGCCGAAAAAGGTACCTTCTA